TCTGTATACAAATATACACATTTATTTATTTATTTATTTATTTATTTATTTATTTATTTATTTATTTATTTATATGGCCTCAAGAAGGACTCCCTTGTTGGCCACGACGACTGTCTATGGGCTCGTGGCTTATAGGCCACCACCAAGAAGAGGACTGACTCCCTTATTAGCCACGGCTGCCTATGGGGGCTCGTGGCCTATAGGCCACCGCCAAGAAGAGGACTGACTCCCTTATTGGCCACGGCTGCCTATGGGGGCTCGTGGCTTATAGGCCACCGCCACGAAGAGGACTGACTCCCTTATTGGCCACGACTGCCTATATGGCCCACTTATGGTAGTATCTTACATATTGTACTAAATATATAGGACCACCTGCTGCACTGCTGCTCTGCTGCTGTTGCTGCAACATTATTCATATCTGCTGCTGTTGTTGCTGCAACATTATTCATATCTGCTGCTCTTGCTGATTCATATAAATGGTCATAAGCATACCTTCTGTCTTAGCTAACTGTCTCCTTCTTAATTGTCTCCTCTATCCCCTGTTACTTACCTAGCTAATTAGCTAGTTAGCTAGCTAACTAGCCACTTAGCTAGCTAGCTAATCTGCTACCTAACTATTAAGCCGGCTAGTACTTAAGATGTTAGTTGTTGAATTGCCTACAAGGCCAGGTGGCTAGCTAGCTAGCCAAAGCTACTCTGCTAGCCAACCAGCTAGCCGCAGCTACTCAGCTAGCTAGCTAGCCACTAAGTCTGTGAACGAGCTAGCTAGCTAGCCGTTGCTGCTGCTGTAAACAGGCGGGGAACAGTTATGCCCTAATGGTCGCATCCAGCTAGCTAGGCCGCTAGCTAGCTAGCTAGGCCGCTAGCTAGCTAGCTAGGCCGCTAGCTAGCTAGCTGGCTAGCTAGCTGAATGCTGGCTACTACTTTGCTATAAGAGAAAAAGCAGAGAGGCCACCGTCGCCGCTGCTGCTGCTGCCAGCAGCACTCGGGAACTTACTGGCCTGCTGCTGCTGCTGTTGCTGCAGTGCAGCAGCAGCAACAAAAGAGAAAGCTGGTACAGCTGACCGCTGCTGCTGCGGCTGCAGCACTGCAAAACGAGAAGCCTGCTGCTGCTGCTGCTGCTTCTGCTGCGGCTGTACGGGCACTGCATCAACTGCCACATCCAGCAACAGCGGAAGCTGCTGCTGCTGCTGTTGCTGCTGCACGGTAGGGCCAGCTGCTGCTGCTTCTAGGAGGTCCCCATCCAATAAGGTCTTCGTCGCTGTTGCTGCTGTTGTTGCTGCTGTTGCTGTTGCTGCAGTTGCTGCTGACGATGCTGCAGTGGGTGAGTCTAGCGAAGAAAGCAGCAGCAAGTTCTGCTGCTGCTGCGTTTGCTGCTGCTGCTGCTGCAAGGCGGGCGGGCGAGCAGCAGCAGCAAATCCGGGCAGCGGAGCACCCGTGTCAGCGCCAGAAGCAGCAGGAGAAGCAACGGGAGCAGCAGGTGCAGCAGCAGCAGGAGCAGCAGCTCGTGCATCTGAACCCTTAAGCTGAAGCCCCGAGAAGAGCGCCGCTGCAGCACACAACAAACCCTTCAATTCTTGCTGCTAAACCCTAAACCCTAAACCCTATTCCTTAAACCCTAAACCCTAAACCCTATCCCGTAAACCCTAAACCCTAAACCCTAGTGGCTTACTTGGAGGTTCGACAGCCTCAGGAGGTTTAAACCCTAACAGCAAATCTAAACTGTCACCCTGTAGCACACACCGACAAACCCTAAACCCTAAACCCTAAACCCTAGCCCTAAACCCTAAAACCTCCAGAGCGTCGTCGAATTCTACTTTACCAGGGTGTACTTTTTAGGGTTTAGCTAGGGTTTAGGGTTTAGGGTTTTTATTAAACCATGGTAGGGGTTGCTGACTTGTTTGTTAGTTGCTGCTGCAGCAGCAGCAGCAGACTCAGTAACCTTTAAGGTTGTTGCCGGTGCTGCTGTTGGTGCTGCTATTGGTGCTGCTGTTGCTGGTGCTGCTGGTGGTGTTGCTGCTGTTGCTGCTGCTGTTGCTGGCTGCTCTTGAAGCAAGTCATCTAGCAGCAAGCCTGAATCTGCTGCTGCTGCTGCTGTTGCTGCAGTTGGTGCTGCTTCTGGCTGCTCTAACATAAGTAAATCCTCAGAAGCAGCAGGAGCGGCGGCAGCAGGAGTTGCTGCAGCAGCAGCAGCAGCAGGAGTTGCTGCTGCAGGAGTAGCTGCTGCAGCAGGAGCAGCAGGAGCAGCAGCAGCGGCATCTGAACCCTGCAGCAGCTGCAGCACCTCCTGTGCTATAGATTGAAGTTGTGGGGTTTTGCTGCACTCAACAATTTGCTGCTGCAGATTTGCTGCTGCAGCAGACTTAAAACTGCAACGATCGTCCTGTTGCTGCTGCTGCTGCTCGTGCTGCAGCAACGCCTGCAGCACCCATACAGACCAAGCAGCAGCAAAGAGGAGATACAACAACAGCAGCAGCAACAACGCAGACATACTGCAGCAACAGCAGCTACAACAGGAGCAAAAAAACACAGCAGCAGTAGCAAGAACAGCAGCAGCAGCAGCAGCAAGAACAGCAGCAGCAGCAGCAGCAAGAACAGCAGCAGCAGCAGCAGGTATTACCTTGATGCCATATAGAAGACGTAGCTTAGCTACCCACTGATCATCTGGTGCAGCAAGTTGCTGCTGCAGCAAGCAGCACAGCAGCAAAGGATCAAGAGGTGCAGCACGAAGGACAAAATCATTAAGAGCAGCAGCAGCAGGACGTAAACGTACACCTGCAGCAGCAGCAAGATCAGCTATGATGCTCATTTCATAGGATCCTACGCTGCTGCTGCTGCTGCTGCTGTTGCTGTTGCTGCTGCTGTTGCTGCTGCTGCTGTTGCTGCTGCTGGTGATGGTGGTGTCTGCAGTTGGAGGCCTGTAACGATTTGAAGGGGAAGAACCCCACATAACACGACCTTGCTGTTGCTGCGCTGCTGCTGCTGCTGCTGCTGCTGCGGTGTATGGGGTGCCTCTGCCGTTGCTGCTGTTGCTGCTGTTGCTGTATGCACGGGGGAGACCTTGATGGTGTCCTGCTGCTACATAACCCCCGTAGCTGCTGCTGCTGCTGCTGCTACTGCTGCTGCTGCTGCTGTAGTGCTGCGCTGTTAATGATGGCAGCCGCCGCTGCAGCGCAGCAGGTAAATACTTAGCAGCAGCATCAGCAACAGCTTTAAGGGCTTGTTCTCCTGCTGCTGCTGCTGCTGCTGCTGCCTTATATTGCTGCTGCTGCTGCTGCAGCGCGAGACTTATAGGGTTCTCTATGCTCGTCAATCTGTTGCTGCTGCTGTTACTGCTGCTGTAGGCGTTGCCCCCACGGCCAGACCCCCAACTATTGCTGCTAATACTGGTGCTGCTGCAGCTGCTGCTGCTGCAGCAGCTGCTGCTGCTGCTGCTGAATTCAGAGAAGAGTAAGCCCAATGCTGTCTTTGCTTCCGAGCGAACAGCAGTAACAGGAGAATCGCCTAATATAGGGTGAGGAGGGGCCCTGCAGAATACACCAAACCCTAAACCCTAATAAACCCTAAACCCTAAACCCTAATAAACCTTAATATACCCCAATAAACCCTAGTAAACCCTTGTAAACCCTAATAAACCCCTCTTGGGGTTGCTTTGTTTTGCTGCTGCTCGTTGCTGCCAGCCTTCAATTAGAGGAGAGAGTCCCTAGGGTTTAGGGTTTGGGGTTTAGGGTTTATACCTGAATGTTTCTAAGGCCCTGAGAGGATTAGGGTTTGCGTTCCTCAATAAAGACTTAAAGGAGGGGGGCCCCTCCCTCAGCAAGAGGGTACAGAGGCGGGTACATTTATAGGCAAGAAAAGGGTTTGCTGCTGTTGCTGCTGTTGCTGCACGATTCTGTACCGTCTCTAATATATACTGCAGCAGCTGCTGCTGCTGTAATGGCTGCAGCTGCTGCAGCTGCTGCTGCAGCTCACGGAAACGAGAGTAAGGAGCAGGCTCCTCCTCTGTACCTAGCAGCCGCAGCACAAGAAGACGGTCCATCATCTTGCTGCTGCTGCTGTTGCTGCTACTGCTGTTGCTGCTGCTGCAGTTGGTTGCTGCTGCTGCGGAGGGGGTTGTTGCCGCAGCTACTGAGTGTCTTAAACAGCTGTAAGGAGAGCAGCAGCAGCAAATCTACCGGCAAAAAGTTCCTGCTGCTGCTGCTGCAGTTGTTCCTGCTGCTGCTGCTAAAGAAGCTGAAGCGATATATGTGCTGTTGCTGCTGTTGCTACTGCTGCTGCAGTCGCTGCTGCCGCAGAGTTTGCTGCCGCTGCTTCTCTTAAAGAAGAGGATGCATGCAAGATCTTCTAAGGGAAGAGCAGCAAAGAACAGAAAACCACAACAAGGAAGGGAACAGACAAGACAGCCGCAGCAGCAGCAGCTGCTGCTGCTGCTGTTGCTGTTGCTGCTGCTGCAGTTGCTGCTGCAGGCAGGTAAAGTTAAAGAGTCTCGAGAGGAGAGCTCAATATTCAATTTAAATAAACACAAAGACAAAACAACTACAAATTCCTTTTGCTGCTGCTGCTGCTGCTGTTTCTCCTGCTGCTGTTGCTGTCGCGGGCCCCCGCCGCGTTCAACTACTGCAGCCGCCTCTGCTGCTGCTGCTGCTGCTAGTCCTGCAGGCAGCCGCGGCGGCTTCGGCTGCTGCTGCTGTTGCTGGTGCTGTTGCTTTTTTGCTGCTGCTGCAGTAGCTGCTTGCCTTTCTATATTTAAGATAACTCTTCTTGCTAAACTGTTGTTGCTATAGCATTTACTGCGCTGCTGTGGCTGCTGCTGTTGCTGCTGCTTCAGCTGTAGCTGCTGCTGCTGCCCGAGGGCCCCAGCTGCTGCTGCTGCTGCTGCTGCAGGAACGGCTGCTGCTGTTGCTGCTGCAGCTCCACCAGAAATTTTGCGTGTGTATTTGAGCTGAGGCAGCAGGAACTGCAGCAGCAGCAGCAGCAGAGCGTTATGCTGCTGCTGCTGCTGCTGCTGCTGCCTTCCGCGCTCGATGAGGCCGGTGGTGACCTTGGGAGGCTGCCACCCCCCAAACCCTAGACAGCAAACCCTTAACCCTAAACCCTAGAATTCAACTTAACTTGGAGTTTCCTACTATTTCCTACTCAAACCCTAGACCCTAAACCCTCAACTCCCGTCTCTTGGCGTCCAGCGGGATGTGTAGGTCGAAGCCGTCGAGCCCAAACCCTAAACCCTAAATCCTAAACCCTAAGCCCTAAACCGTTTTCTCCATACAGCCAAATGACACAGAAGAGCTCTTATTGCCAGCTCGCTGTGTGTGTACGCAGCAGCAGCAGCGGATGCTGCAGCAGCAGCAGCAGCCGCAGCCGCAGCAGGGGGAGGAGAAGCAGCAGCAATATTAGCAGCAGCAGGGGAAGCATCTGCTGAGGGTTTAGAGCTTTGTTCTCTTTATGCTTGGTTAGACAGTCTTCCCCTCTCTAGGCCCAAGAGAAATCTACCTAGAGATTTTGCTGATGGGGGTAAACCCTAAACCCTAAACCCTTGGCAAGGGTGTTGAGTTGTTGTTGACCAGCAGCTCGCACAAACAGGCATCTGCGTATACAGGATCTACCGTATTGCTTACGGTTTATGGTTTATTTAGGGTTTAGCGTTTATTTAGGGTTTAGGGTTTAGTTAGGGTTTAGGGTTTGCTGCGTTCAGTGCTGATGGCTGAAGTGGCGAACCACTGCATCCCCCGCATCGCCGACCTCCACAACTATAGGTGGAGCCCTAAACCCTAGACCCTAAACCCTAAACCCTAATTGTTCCTGCGTTCTTGTGTGGTTAACCATGAGCCATCTGATGGTTGCCGAGGGTTTACGAGGGTTTAGGGTTTAGGGTTTTTGACGTCACGCGCAGCACAGCGAATTCATTTCAACAGAAGCGCTACAACTGGGAAACCCTTGCAGGTCAACCCCAAACCCTAAACACTAAACCGTAAACCCTAATCACTTCCTTTTATTTATTGGAGAGGGTTTATCTAGGCCTTTATCTTTAACGAGGGTTTATGTTTTACGAGATGCCTTCCTGGGGGCTTATGCAGATTCTAAGAGTGAGGGTTTCTGCCTTCCAAGGGTGTAGGGTTTAGGGTTTAGGGTTTGCATGCAGAGAGGGTATTCAAGAGAGTCGGACTAAAACTTACTGCAGCAGAAATCGATCGCGTTGTTGCTGCAAGACCAGGAGCAGCAGAGAGCATCATCCTTCGTTTTAAGCAACGCGTAAACCCTAAACCCTAAACCCCAGCGGATCCTGAATCCACTCACTCCTCAGCTTCACCAAGCCATTCAGGAAAGGGTTTGGGATGGTCTAGCGTTTAGGGTTTAGGGTCTGCTCTTAGGCGGAGGCGCTGAGGCAGCAGTCCTCAAGAGAAGTCGAGGCCGTCCCCAAAGGCACTCATTTGGCACGTGAGGGTTTAGGGTTTAAGGTTTAGGGTTTAGGGGTTGTAAGGGTTTGCATATTTTAGGGTTTGGAAGAATGTAGCTTTCTGCGAGGTGCCCTTGAACGACGGGCCGTCCCCAATATACGGTCTACAGTTTAGGGTTTAGGGTTTGCGTTTAGGCGGAGCACCACAAACGACCCCCCGGCCTACAAGCCAGCAAGAATGGGCTGCTCTTCTGGTGACTAAGCTCTAAACCCTAATCCCTAAACCCTCGCAGTTGTCTACAGAGGAGGCACTTCACTGTGCAGTTTAGGGTCTACGGTTTATCCACGTTGGAGCTCTAGGATTCACGGTTTAGGGTTGAGTGTTTAGGGTTTGCAGGCACAACGAGATGCAACTATACAAGACCTTGAGGAGACAAATGCAATATTAGCAGCAAAGGCCGAGAGTCTACAGAAGCTCCTTCAGCTTCGGGTCCTCCTCTAAACCCTAAACCCTTAACCCTAGGTCTCAATTGAGACGCCTCCCAGGGTCTCTGCGTTGCTAACACAGGCAGGGGTTCAGGATTAGGGTTTAGGGTTTAGGGTTTGTGGAGTGTGTGCTGCAGGATGCAAAGATAGAACTTCTAACGAAGGCACTACAGGCCGCAGCAGCAGCCCCTCTACCTCAATAAACCCTAAACCCTAAACAAAACCCTCGAGTTTTTTTTCGTGTTCGGCTGCTTTCCAGTAGCCATACAACAAACCCTAAACCCTAAGCCCTTCCTTCAGAATCAGAAGCATCGTCATCGTCCGCTAGCCCCATCTGTAACGAATCAGCACAGGATTTAGGATTTAGGGTTTACAGAGTTGCTACCTCCGAGTTATTGCAGCTTTAGGGTTTCCGCTTGAGGGTGTTCTGTAGTGCAGCGTACGTGTGTTTCTAATAAGTGCTCTTGATACTTAGGGTTTAAGTTTTAGAAATTAGGGTTTAGAGTTTAGGGGTTGGAAATTAGGGTTTAGGGTTTTCTGACGAGTTGTTCTTTTGACGCAAGGGAAATTCCTTTAAGGAATTCTTTATTAACATCCATAGCTCTTTGTTGTTTAAAATAAAAATAAAAAAAAATAAAACAAATGCAGAGTAATAAACAACAAAAAGATAATAATGCTAAACCTGCAGCACAAACATTCACATACTATAAATACTCCTCTCATAGGGTTTAGGGGTTTAGCGGTTGAGAGCTTTAGGGTTTAGGGTTTAGGGTTTGGGAGGTTTAGGGTTTACAGGGTTTCCATATCCGCGATGCATATCGTAGACCGATCGCGCTGGCAGCACTCCACATGCCGAAGACTGCAAACCCTCACAAACCCTCACAAACCCTAAACCCTCACAAACCCCCAACCCTAAGATGCCACAACTGTGAGACCTCACAAACCCTACGCCTAAAACCGTCAGAAAAGAAACTCTCCTTGAGTACCACTATGGGTTGTTGAGGTATGTGCAAAGTAGGGTTTAGGGTTTACATCAGGGTTTACGGTTTACCAAAGGACATAAAGAGGGTTATTTCTGTGGTTGTTGGAGCTGCTTCTTGGGCTACAGGGTCGTCTCTGAGGAGCAAATGCAACAAACCCTAAACCTTCACGAATCCTTAACCGTCAACCCTCCTAAACCCTCGATCACCCTTGAAGAGATGAGACAGCAAAAAGCGCCGCTAGGGTTTGAAGCATTTCCCGGGTTCTCGCTGCGGCCTATCTAGGGTTTAGGGTTTAGGGTTTAGGGTTTACATGGGAGCTCTTGAAGAGAATAAAAGATAAAGTGTTCCCTTAAATGGATATCTTTTGCCCATTCTTATAGAAGTAATAATAAACATAATCGTGCTGTAGCTAATAACAGCAATTGCCTGAACATAAACCATAAACCCTCGAAAAAAAACCCTAAACCCGAAACAAACCCTAAACCATTTTGGCTCGTTATGCCTCTCATAAAAAGAAACAACGACCCAACAATGTTTCTCTCCTGATGTATATAGTGCTGTTGCTGCTGCTGAGCTATCAGGGTTTGGGTTTTAGGAGGGTTTAGGGTTTACGTAATTATCTTTGCCGCAATTAATAAGATAAATAAAGGACATAAGTAATTGTGGTAAATCTTCAACAGCTCGCATTAATAATTGAAATGTCCAGGTCAATCGTTCAAACATAAATAACGCCTGATCAGTAAAACCCTAAACCCTAAACCCTAGGAACTATGAAAGAAACCCTCACAAATCTACCATTGTAAAATCTGGTGAAGACTAGCTCTATATTCTAGGGATTAGGGTTTAGGGTTTAGGGTTTATTACCTGAGGGCACTCCACTCCGGAGCGTTTAATTTCACCAAAGACGGCAAGTGGGATAAAAAGACGCAAACCTAAACACACAAACCCTAAACCCTAAACCCTAAACCCTCAAGCGTCCCGGTTGTGCCCCAACAAGATTCCACAGGACAGCTGTAACCCAGAAGATGCAGCAGCATCAGCAGCGGCGACAGCAGCATAAACAGCAGCACAATCAGCAGCACAGTCAGCAGCATCATCAGTTGCACAATAATCAGCAACACAATCAGCAGCGTAATCGGAAGCAGCACAACCAGCAGCAACGGCAGGCAGCAGCAAAATCAGCAACAGCAGCAGCAGGAGTGTATGTGTGTATAACTGACTATGTCCTTTAATTCTATGATAGATGATGAATCTTTTGCATGCAGTAGCAGCAAGACTTATGGTGTACGTACACCCCAACCATAGCAACACAAAACGTAAACTAGGTAATTCATGAAACCCTCGACGACGCCATAACACTAAAGAAACCCTAATTATAAAAAACAAATCTGCAGAAAACATATATACATACGCAAGCCCTAAACCCTAAACACTAATGTATTGTACCGAATATAAGGGAAAAAAGGAACGAAACAGACTCAAAAAAAGATAAATTGTCAAGGGTTTGGGGTTTAGCGTTTGGGGTTTAGGGTTTAGGGTTTAGGGTTTGAGATTAGCATTGATGAGATCGAAGTGACCAAGGGTTTAGGGTTTACCATTAATGAGATCAAAATGATCAAGGGTGAAGGGTTTAGGATTTATTATTAACCATTAGTAACATCAAGGGTATAGTGTTTCGAGTTTAGTGTTTAGTGTTTAGGGTTTAGGGTTTAGGGCTTAGGGTTTACCATTAATAAGATCGAAATGATCAAGGGCTTCAAGAAGAAGAAGTTTTGCTTGTCTTTGTTTAATTGCATCACCACCAAAGAAATGAGGAAAAACATTTCTTATAAAATTAAACCATCCTTCTTCTTCTTCTAGGGTTTGGCTCTCCTGTATACAACAATAAACCCTAAACCCTAAACCCTAAACCCTAAACCTTAAGCTAGCTTTTTCCCGCATCGAGGGGTTGGCTCTAATGGATTAATCCTAAACCCTAAACACTAAACCCTAGTCAGCGAGTAGAGAACAAAATGATAGGCACTGGCTGGAGCTTATCACAAAAGGATTAGGGTTTAGGGATAAGGGTTTAGGGTTTAGAGTTTGGGGGGTTCGCTCACCTCCTCACTCACGGAGCTCTGGCTAGATACCCCAGACCATAAAACAGACTGCCGCCCCGCGCCCCTGCAGACAAACCCTAAACCCTAAACACTAAACCCTAAACCCGAAACTCTAGAGGGTCGGGCGCCTTCCGTTAGCAGCTGTGGCTGGTGAAAAGTGCTTGGCTTTATAAAAATGCTTAGGGTTTAGGGTTTAGGGTTTGGGCTCACCAGACACTGTAGCGAGGACTCCCTAAAGGACGGTATTCATCAGCAGGGGCTGCAATGATAAAACGTAAACCCTAAACCCTAAACCCTAATCCCCGGACCACGAACACTTAACCCTAAATACCAAGCCCCAAACCCTACATTCCTAGCATCTGTGCTCTATATGAATCTGATGAATATGCATATATGAGGGTTTATGTTTCGGTGTTTAGGGTTTAGGGTTTAGGGTTTACAAGACATATGAGGACTTGGCTCTTCTATATTGGAGAAGAACGACTGCAAGTCTTCAGGGCTTAGCGACTCCTGCCGATCCTGCAGCGAGAGAGAAAGAGAAGGCTGGTGCTGCTGCTGCTGCTGCTGCTCGTGCTGTTCCAGCTTCTCTTGCTGCTGGTGCTGGGGATCAGCAGCATGCTGCAGCTGATGCTGCTGCTGATCATCCTTAATGTCAGCCATTGACATTTAGTTTGTCTGCTGCTGTTGCTGTTGCAGTTGCTGCTGCTGCTGCTGCTGTTGCTGTTACTGCTGCTATAGTTGCTGATGCTGCAATCTTCTTCGCCGCTACTAGTGAGTCGACAGCTGCTGCTGTGGTTGCTGCTGCTGCTTCTCCTTGACGTTCTGATTCTGTTCCTTCCTTGATGCTGTTGCTGCTGCTGCAGCAGTAGCTGCAGCAGCAGCACTGGCGCTGCTGCGTGCTAGCTTGTCTTCTGGGAGCAGCATAAATGAGGTTTTGCTGCAGCTAGCGGCAGCAACCCTAAACACTAAACCCTAAACCCTAACACCCCCCATGAAATTACCTGCTGCTAACTGCAGCTAGCTGCTGCTTGCTGCTGTAGAGAGAGTGGACGGAGAGCGGCTGGACCTCAGTCGGCTGCGGCTCTATTGACCTAAACCCTAAACGCTACACCCTAGAGCCTAAACTCTAAACCCTAGACCCTAAGCCCCAAACACTAAATACTAAAATAAAAGACCTGGAAAGAAAAGAAGAATAAGAGAAGGTATTGAAAACCCCTTTAGAGACAAACCAGATAGCACGGGCGCTTGTTCTACGGCAGCAGCAGCAACAGCAACAGCAGCAGCAGCAGCAGCGGGAGCTGTCTTCCCTGTGAAGACGCAAACGACGGTTTTCAACTCTGTAGATCATCCGCCATTTAATATTGTTATAAACCCTAAACCCTAAACCCTTATTTCAGATCTTTGTGCCTCCATCAGCTGCTGCCCGTTTCGTTGCCAAACCCTAAACCCTCGCGAGACCTTGAACCTCGAGCCCTAAACCCTAAACCCTAGGCCCTAACGTTCAAATCCCCACTGATTGCCCCCATTTTCTCTTCTTTTTCAGGCCATAGACCCTAAACCCTAAACACTAAACCCTAAACCTCGAGCCCTCAGCGGTTGGCACACTGCACTTGCGTGTGGGGCCCTTGCAAACCCCAAACCCTAAACCCTAGACCCTAAACCTTCGAATAAGGGTTTCTGCTACGAATGCCTGGCCCCTCAGGGGGCGCCTTGAAGCTTCTGACTGCTGCTCTCCTGCTGCCGCTGCAGCAGCACGCAGCAGCAACTGCAGCACCAAGAGCAGCAGCACCGGCAATAGCAGCAGCAGCAGCAACTACAGCTGCTGCTGCAGCACAGAGTCTGCTCTTTTTGCAGTATCCACGCAGGTGTCTGTGCAGCTCACTTGGGGCCGACCTAGGCATTAGCAACAACAGCAGCAGCAGCTCGAACAGTAGCAGCAACAGCAGCAGCAGCCCTCTGCTCTCCCCTTTCCATGGAAGGCCCCCTTCCTCCTGTACAGGGGCAGCAGCAAGAAGAGACACAGCGGTAGCAGCAACAGCAAAAGCAGCAGCAAGAAGACTACACAATCGTGCTGCTGCTGCGATGTCGTCTCAGAAGAAGGCAAGGGTTTAGGGTATAGGGTTTGGAGTTTAGGGATTAGGGTTTGGAGTTTAGGGTTTAGGGTGTAGGGTTTGGGCTTTAGGGTTTGTGGTTTATTCTGCTTTTTGGCGTCATGACTTTGCGTATTCCTATGTTTTGCTGCAGGGAAAGAAAGGCTCCGCAGCAGCTAGCAGCAGCAGCAACAACAGCAGCAGCAACAGCAGCAGCAGCAGCAACTTGCCTGGATTTATGAAGATGTCCCCGGATGGTTGCTTGCTGCTAAGCATTCATGCAACCCCAGGAGCTAAGACCTCCTCTGTATCACGTACGTGCTGCTGCTGCTGTGTGCGTCTGCTGTCGCTGCTGCTGCTGCTGCTGCTGTTCCTTTTCCTGCAGTTGCTGCTGCTGGTTCTGCTGCTGCTACAGGGCGCCGGCTGCTACTGCTGCTGCTGTTTCCCATGGATACTCCGTCTGGTGCTACTGCTGCTATTGGTGTTGCCGCTGCTACTATTTCTCATTGATGCTCCCTCTGCTGTTGCTGCGGTTGCTGCTGTTGCTGTTGCTGCTGCTGCTGCTGCTGCAGCATTTAAGTCTACAGACACGGAGTTGGCAGTTCATATCGCTGCGCCACCACGAGAAGGAGCAGCAAATGAAGAACTACTCGACTATGTTGCGCATGCCTGTTTGTCGCCACTGCTGCTGTTGTTGCTGTTGCTGCTGCTTCTGTTGCTGTTGCTGCTGCTGCTGTTGTTGGCCTTTCTCATGCTGCTGTTGTGTCCCATGTAGTTCCTTCTGCTGCTGAACTGTCATTTGGATCCTAAGATTAGGGTTTAGGGTTTAGGGTTTGGAGTTGCGCCCTCTGTTACATGCTGCTACCTCTGTTGCTGCTGCTGCGGCTGTTATTGTTGTTGCTGCTGCTGTCGCTGTTGCTGCTGCTGTTGCTGCAGTAAAGGTCCGCAAGGGGAAGCTGTCGCTCGAGCTTGGCCACAAATGCCGCACCAAGGCAAGTTGTTGCTGCTGCTGTTGGCTCTATTGGTGGTGGTGCTGCTGCTTTTGTTTGTGGTGCTGCTGCTGGAGCTTCAATTTTTGCTGCCGTTGCCACCTGTACTGCAGCTAATACTGCTGCTGCTGCTGCTGCTGCTGCAAACTGCTTGTTCCAATGCTGCTGTTGCTGCTGCTGCAGGTTGTGAAGGTTTCTGATATGAAGCCGGAAGAGATCATAGAGCGTCTTCAAGAAGAAGCCCCAAACCCTAAATCCTAGACTCTAAACCCTAAACCCTCGATATAGATGCTACTGAGGGCTTAGGGTTTGCTTCTTACTAGCGGGCAGACTGACTGCACACACTGGAAGGAATGTAGTTCCTCATTTAGGGTCTAGGGTTTAGGGTTTATGCGAGCCCGGAACCCTACGCTTGCTGCACGGTGCTGCAGCAGCAGATCCAGCAGCAGCAGCAGCACCAGCAATTGCGGCAGTAGTAGAAATGCACAGATATCAAGGTGCCTCGCTGTTTCTATGCCTTTATTTCTGCTGCTGCTGCTGCTGCTAGCTAGTTAGCCAGCTGGCTAGCTAGCCACCCACCTTTGCCCGTGGGCATGTAGCTAGCTACCTAGCTGGGTGACTAGCCACGTAGCTGGCCAGCTAGCTAGCAGCTGGATAACCAGCTAGCTAGCAATCTAATCAGCCTGCTAGCTAGCAAGCTCGCCAAATAGTTATTTCCCCAGCTAGCTGTATATCTAGCTAGCTGTATAAACATCTATCTGCCTATCTGTCTATCTAGCTATATAGCTATCTGCCTAGCTAGCTATCTAGCTAGCTAGACAGATAGCTGGATAGCTACTCTTAGTTAAACGCATGGCTGCCTCACATAGTGCGAACAACCCCTTTAAGGATTTTTGCAACCTTGAGTGCTGTCGTTGTTGCTGCTGCTGTTGCTGCTGCAGCTGCAACTGCTGGAGTTTTAAGGTGTTTGTGATGCTCTGTACAAGGGTTTGGGAGGATGTTTCCTTTGCTGACAACCGCAAACCCTAAAGTCCCAGTACCATGAACGGCTAGGGCTTAGGAGTTAGGGTTTAGGGTTTCAGGGTTCAAGGAAGTTAATGAGTGTCTGTATAATATAAGTTGTTCCCCCTTATATATATAAACAATAATTGTGATTTTTAAATCAATTTTCTATATTTCATGTGGACTGGCAGCTGGAAGGCTGGCGCGAGGGTTTAGGGTTTAGGATTTTGCGTATAGGGTTTGGGGTCGGCTGCGGTCATGACGCTAGTATCGGGGTTTGTTTTTTGTGTTTTTCTTTTGTATTTATATTTTTGTTTTTTATTATAAAAGTTATTTCATTTTTTCTTCCTTTTGAGCTGCATATACAGCCCAATACCCTCATTTCCCTTCTCCGCGGTTCGACGCGACCGCGCTGATATATATAAATGGTTGTCTGCATGCGCTAAGGTTTGGCGTTTAGGGTTTAGGGCTTACAGTTTAGAGTTTTCGATTTAGAAAACTGTCATTTAGAGGCCTGCCAAAGGGGGTTTAGGGTTTAGCGTTTAGGGTTTGCCGATCTTTTTCCCCTCGAGCCATGGGGTCTCGAGACAGTCCAGGTCGTGCTGCAGCAGCAGCAGCAGCAGCAGCAGCAACTGCAACAGCAGCAGCAACAGCAACATCAAAAACAACAACAGGTTTACACACTTCTTCAACATCAGCAGCAACAGCAGCAGCAACAACAGCGACAACAGTGTTGCAATGGAAGCGTATCCAGCTGTCGGTGCTGCTGCTGCTGCTGCTGTCATTGCTGCTGCTGCTGCAGGCTGCTGCATTACCATTAAGAAGAGGCAAAGATGACCTCAATCCCTCTGAGTTACAAATAAAGACCGGTGCTGCAGCAGCAGCAACAACAGCAGCAACAGCAAAGCACCAAAGTGGCAAAACAAAATACTCTTTACTGCAGCAACAACAGCAGCAACAGCAACAGCAGCAACACAGCAGCAAGCAACAGCAACAGCAGCAGCATCAGCATCAGCAGCAGCACGAATTAGCAGTGGTCCATTGGTCACCTTCCCCTGCCCTTGAAACTAACCACCAGCAGCAGCAACAGCAGCAAAGAGAAGAAAAAGAGGGAAAAAGAGAAATAATAAATATGATATTAGACACCTCAACAGAAAGAGAAGAAGAAGAAAAAGAAGAAGAAATAAAGAAAGAAAGAAAAGAAGATAAAGGAAAAGAAATAACAAAGAAGGAAGAAAATAAAGAAATATCTACATTAATGATAAAAGCATCAAGAGAAGAAATTGCAGCAGAAGACGCAAATTATTATATTTGTCGTTATGCACCAAGCGGGACTGCATGCGGCAGCCGTAAGCAAAGTGTAACATTTTCTTCTTCTGTTGGTGTCTCCCCTGCTACCTCTTTATCCCTGTATTGCCCAACAAAAGAATGCTGCAGCAAGACTAAATGTGTTAATGGTAATTGTGGTGGTTTCTGCTCCAATCAATGGGCATTATGTAGTACAAGTTTAGTATACGAAAATGAATATTCTTACGGAAAATGTAATTGTAATACAAAAAAAAATATATGCCCGTTAAAT